TGGGATACTTATTCTTCTCAAAGTTAGCCAGAATTTGTTATGATCTACACAGTTAAATGCCTTTGAACAGTCAATAATAATACAGATAGACATTCTTCTGGTGTTCTCTGATTTTAGCCAGGATCCATCTGGCGTCAGTTAACGACACCCCTAGTGACACAGCCTCTTTTAAATCTAGCCTGAACTGGCAGTTCTCAATGTACTAACCTAGCCATTTCTGAATGATCTTCAGCATTATTTTGCTTGCACATGATATTAATGATATTGTTTGATAATTTTCACATTCTGCTGGATCACTTTTCTTGGAAATTGATACAAATATGAATATGTCACAGTCAGTGTAGGCCAAATAGTAGTCTTACAATTTTCTGGCATAGACTGGTAAGCACATTCAGAGCTGCATCTACTAGTTAAAACATGTCAACTGGATTCCATCAATTCCTGCAGTCTTATTTTTTGCCAATGTTTTTAATGCAGCTTTAACATCTTCCCTCATCATCACTGGCTCTAGACCATATGCTACTTCTTGAAGTATTTCAGTGTTAACCAATTATTTTTTTGGTACAGAGACTCTGTGTGTTCCCTTCATCTTCTTTTGATGCTTCCTGGATCATTCAATATTTTTCTTATAGCATCTCTCAGTATTGCAACTTGAGTCTGGAAGAATTTGCTTTTCAGTTCTTTCAGCTTCAAAAATGCTTAGTGATTTCTTCCTTTTTTATTCTCCAATCCCACCTCTTTGCATATTTCATTATATCTTACTTTGTTCTCTTGAGCTGTCCTTTGAAATCTCTCTTTATTTCCACATTGCTACCCTTTCTTTTGGCATCTTGACACATTAATGCAATTTTCAGAGTCTCTTCTGGCATTCATTTTGGTCTTTTTCTCCTCTGTTTTTGTGATGACCTTTTGTTCTCTTCATGGATAATAACTTTTATGTCATCTCACATCTCATGTGATCTTTGATCATTAGTGTTAAATGCCTCAAATCTATTCTTCAGATGATTTTTAAATTCAGATGTGATAGACCCAAGGTCATATTCTGATTCTTGTGACCTTGTTTTGATTTTCTTCAATTTCATTTTGAACTTTCACATGAGTAATTGATGGTCTGTTCCACAGTCAACACTTAGCCTGGTTTTGCCTGTTGATACTGAGCTTCTCCAATGGTTCTTTTGCATAGACGTAGTCAATCTGATTCCTGTACAGTCCATCAGGTAAAGTCCATGTATTCAGTTGCTGTTGTGTTTCTTAAAGAAGGTTTTTGTGATGAATAAATTACTGAATGTACAAAATTCAGTCATTTCCAGTCTCATTTCTGTCCCCAAGTACATAATTTTCAGCTACCATTCCTTCTACTTTGTTTCCATATTTTGCTGCCAATCATCAATGATTATTGATGCATTTAGACTGCACGTATGGTCAATTTCAGACTGCAAAAGTTGGTAAAGTTCCTCATCTTTGCCTTCAGCTGTTGGTGCATGTATCTAGGTAAAAGATGTATTAACAGGTCTTTCTTATATACATATGAATAATATCCTATCACTCACAGCATTTTACTTCATGATAGATCTTTCCATAGTCTTATTAACTACGAATGTAACACTGTTCTTCTTCACCTTTTCATTCCTGGCGTAGTACATCATATGATTGCATCATTCAAAGTGGCTAATTCCAACCTACCTCAGCTCACTAATGCCTAGAATGTCTACCTTTATTTGTTCCATCTCATTTTAGATGACATCCTATTTTCCTGTATTCATACTTCTTACATTCCATGTTCCAATATTAATGGATATGTGCAGCCATTTCTCTTCATTTTGAGTGACTTCCCATCTGGGCTCTAATACCATAAAAATAACAATTTTACCAAAAGCAATCTACAGATTCAATGCAATCAAAATGCGAATACCAACATTCTTCAATGAGATGTTAAAGGCAATTTCCAATTTTGTCTGGAAAGAAGCTCCAAATAAGTAAAGCAATTCTGATAAACAAAGGAGGAGCCATCATATTCTCTGACCTCAGAGCTTATTACAGAGCCACAGGGATAAGACAGCATGGCACTGGTACAGTAACAGACAGACAGATCAATGGAACAGAATCAAGAACCCAGAACCAACTCATCTATCTATGTTCAATTGACTCTGACAAAGAGACAAAAATCAATTAAGTGGGGAAACAATAGTCTCTTTAGCAAATAGTGCTGGCAAAACTGGATATCCACCTGCAGAAAACTGAAACACGATCCACACTTCACATCATACAATAAAATCAACTCAAGATGGATTAGAGATCTAGGGGTAAAATAAAAAACAATAAAGTTCATCAGAGAAAAAAATAGGAACAAATCAAGAAGCCCTAATCTACAGCACGAATAGACTTTCAATTAAAACAACTATGAGATATCATCTCACCCCAGTCAAAATAGCAAAATTTAACAGAACAGCAAGCAACAAAAGCTGGCGAGGTTGTGGAGAAACTGGAACCCTGATTCACTGTTGGTGGGA